ATGAAGTGTTGACACTAATATATATTGATTTCGAAAGAAAAAATCCAAACTTAGTTTTACTTCCAAATATGGTTAAAGAGAGATAGCTCAGTATGTTAAAAAAAATGTAAATTAAAAACACATCGATAAATATAGCCTACTGTTACTGCAGCTCTGAAATATCAATTTAAATAACAAAATTAATTCATGAATAAAAAGCTGGCAATATATACCCCATAACCCGTACGTGTATAATCAATTCACCAAGTTATCGACCGTGTAACCAAGTTTGTCATGTTTACCTGATAATCGGTATTCTAAATTCGATTCTTGATCATCAGCCAGGGCCGGATTTTAGGCTCCTGCTGCTGCTGCTGTTGCTCCTACTGCTCCTGCTACTACTACTACTGCTACTGCTCCTCCTGCTGCTGCTAATATTTAGGCCGGTCATATCAATATTTAGGCCCGGGGCATAACAACAAAAAATGGACCCTATATGAAATTAATATACTCCTCTATCACATTTTATCTGTCCTACTTACTATTCATTGGTTAAATAAACTTTTTTTGTTTTTTTTTTGAGTAGTTTTTACTTATTTTTAAATTTGATTTTTTATGTTTAATAGTACTTTTAGTGTAGTTTCTAAATATATAAATTTTGTATATTAATACTAAATTTAATATTATGAAAAATTGAATTAAAAACAACTTCAGTCAAGCCTCGTTAACCGAACTAGACCCATAAAATGGGACGGAAGGAGTATATTTTTATGACTAAAATTTAAATTAAATAATGAAGCAATACTAATGCCAAATAACTTAAATAAGATCCAAAAGTTTTTAACAATTTTACATACACATGAAAACAATTATAGATGCATTCCTAAATCCAAAATAATCAATCACCGCATCAGTGTTTTCATAAATAAAGAATTATAGTTTATAAAAATAAATAAATAATTTAAAACCAAATGAGTTTATAGACAATCACATTATTATTATAATAAATAATAAATTAATTATTAATAAAAATTTATAATAAAAAAAACTTACAAATAAGAGCATAGCATAAAATCTTAATTATCTCTACCAAAAAAAAATCTTAATTATTGAAAACAATAAATGAAAACACTCAAACATGATAAAAGATATTCATAATAAATTATGAAACATAATTAATTGGATAAAATAGTTTGAACAAAAAACACGTAATAAATCACACATCTTAAATATTGATATCATATTTATAAATACTCTTTTTTAGTTAGATCACTTTCAAGTTTTTCTAGATTAATTAATTTGAATACGATGACACACAATAAAACTTCTAAACTACATTGACTAGATAATTCATAAAAAATTAAATTATCTTTTAAAATATTTTTCATAACTAAATCACAAAATATATTACATATACATAACTCATTATAAAGTTCACAAAATAACAAATATCTACTATACTAATAAGAGCCCAAGAGAGTTAGGCCTATAATAGGTATAAAAAATGGCGGTCAAATTTTTTAATCAAATGAATGGCTCAGATTGATCAGATTTTAATTTTTCCTTGAGAATTACTAATTTATCCTTAATGAATAAAATTATCCGTTAACTTTTCCGTTAAATATTATCTTTTCCGTTAATTTCTGTTAGTTCACCGTTAACTTACTCATTGATTTCAATAAGAAAGGTCTTAGGTTCGAACCACGTCCCAATCAAAGTTGGCATAATTAGTACTCTATATTTACTCTTATTAAATTAATTAAATACTAATTTAGTAGCTACAACAAAAAAAATACATATGTATTTCTTTAATTTAGAATTATGTGTCTACAATGCCTTTATTCAAAAATAAAATTATTCATTATCAATAAATTAAATAAGATAAATAATTTCATTAGTTATATTGTCTTTATTTTTCTCCAATATAAAATTTCTTTACATTCAAAATTCAAATTTATCAATTTATTATATTCGCTACATTGTTCCTACAATGTCTTTATTAAAAAAATTATTCATTATCAATAAATTAATTAAGAGAAATAATTTCATTACTTATATTGTCTTTATTTTTCTCCAATGTAAAAATTCTTTACATTCAAATTCACCAATTGATTATTTTCACTACATTGTCTATTATCTTTTTTTAGCACTATTTTTTAATTAAATATCAAAGTTATAATACAAAATAATGCTATATATTTATTTACCAAGTATTTTATTAATACCATGAAAAAATTAAAAATATATAATTAATAAAGCCAATCATATTAACTACTTGATGGATTTGTTAACAAAGAGAGTATTCAAATCACATAACGAATTGGAGTGAGAACTATCACAAGCAGTAAGCGGTTAGCGTTAGCGGATTATATTAGCGGATTTAACCAGTGAATTATATCAACGGTTGTAAAAATATATTTGAAAAAAAATAGTTGTTTAGATTAACATGTAAAATGACGTAAGGGTGTAATAATAATAATAATAATAATAATAATAATAATAATAATAATAATAATAATAATAATAATAATAATAATAATAATAATAATAATAATAATAATAATAATAATAATAATAATAATTGTTTTTAAAAAATAAAAAAATATAATTAAGCTAATCATATTAACTACTTGGGGGATTTATTGAAGAAAAAAAAAGTATTCAAATCACAGAACAAATTGAAGTGGAAAACCAACTCGCAATATCCTTGTTTGGTAATCAGCAGTTAGCTCTTTAATATTAGTATATATTTAATATTTTATGTCCTAAATTTTATTTGTTCTTCCTTATGTCCCGTATTTGGTTTCAATCATACCTATACAATTATTTTATTATAATTATAATCAATCTTGACTATATTATCTTGCATTTGTAAACTTAGAATTACCTATTTAAATATGCAAATTCAACATTCAATTATCTATGCACGAACAATTTCAATATGCTCTTGCCTTGATATACTTTAAAGTACTTATTTAAAAAAAAAAAAACATTGGGCATTATCCCAATCGCGCAATGCGCGTAAAAAACTAGTTCTAAATATAAGTAGTAAATTACTCGAATAGAAATAGATTCAAAATTTAATATGAATTACAAATCAATCTATATTATAAATCTCACTATAATTATAGAAAGGTAAAAAGAATCACAAAGTTACAAATTAGAAATAAAAATAAATAAATTGTAGGAAAATGTTATGTAAAATAATACACATGGGGATTGGATCCCTAACTATGAACATAAAAACTACAAGTCCTACCAACTCAAATCTTAATATAATAAAATTCATAAATTCATCTACAAAATAATTGAGGGGGAAATTTTTATGTAAAACTACATATGAGAGATTCGATCTCTTGACCATACAGATTAACACAAATGTATAAAAATAATTATACAACATTTCTATAGTATCTATAAGAGGTAATGGTATAAGTGGTGGGCCCTTCCAAACATGGGGCCCTGGGCAAGGGCCCAGCCTGCCCTTGCCCAGGGCCGGGCCTGCTTGAGCGGGGCATTTCTCAGTCAAATTAGTCACACAAGCTAAGGTCTTTCTAATACAATTTATATTTTATGTATGGTATGTTTAACAACTTTTGGAATGGACAGTTAAATAATAATTAATTAAAAACTGACGACGAAAGAAAATATACCACATCATTAAAACAAAAAGAGTCAACATTGATCGAACAAATTATAATCATTTTCTGTTTTTCTTAAATAACTTTTTAATTTACTATAACTAAAATTGTTTAACTAAACATACACTTGTCTAGTTGGAAGAAACTCATGAATTTCAATCTTTCATCTTTTATATAATAACAAACTCAACCTTCATATCTTTCCAACATCAAATCTTCATTGAGAAATTGACTAGGAATTCTTCAATTTAGACTACTACATTATGACTATATATCATAAGTAATTGATTTTTCAAAAAACGTGTGATGTGTGTGAATATAATTGTCCTAGAAGATGTGAATAATTATATAAGTACATGGATGATAATCAATTAATTTTGTTAGAATTATAGTTTTCAAAGTGTCAAAATACTTTTTCAACACAGAAATGTCCTAAATGTGACACGGTATGGTCACAAAGAATGTTGAAAGAAATGTACTTATTAATGCACTTGTAACAAGTTCACACATAAAAGAGTTAAATAAAAGAGTTAAATATAATGCGGGTAATTAATCAGCACCAAAGATGGATGATCTCCAACTAAAAGTATCAGTATAATAATAATAATAATAATAATAATAATAATAATAATAATAATAATAATAATAATAATAATAATCTTTCTATATATTAAAGCCATATAGTCATAACCAATCAAATTGCTGTATTTTCCCACCCAAGTGAAACTACGTAGTTTTGATCATTGATAGTTTAATATTTGCTAAATAATATAAACGGTAGCGTTTAAGGTCTGACAGCCGTATTCTTTGGGTAAAACGTTAGGTTATTATTACTTTTTTTATCGGAATTGCTCAAACCCTTTTATTATTACTTCTTTATCGGAAGTTGCTCAAACTCTTTCATATCCGCAGTTCATGGAGTTCTATAAATTCCATATGGTAGAAGCAGATTTTTTTTCATACATACATTACACAATTACTGAAGAAATATTAATGATTAGTGAAATTGTCTGAGGATGACTGCAGAAGGGTGCTGCTGCGGAATAGGGCGGTAGTGGAGGGTAACCAAGTCGGATTTGCACGATAGATGCCAGAATGGAGACCATGGTGTGACTCGCCGTTGGCAATGGTATGGTTTCAATTCCCAAATCTATCATTTTTTTTTTTGAAAGAAAATCTACCATCTCATTTATTTGATTTACATGTGATGATGCAATTGTGTGAGCCGATTTGTGAGTTGTTGCTTTGTGTGTTGCGACTGGCAGAGGGTCGAGGCCGAATGGTGTGAAGGGGAAGTTGGAAATTGATATGTGAAAGCCATTGATATATAAAATATGGATAGAGATTTGTAGGATGCTACGATTAATAGAAAAACTTGGTTGCAATGTGCTGCAAGAGGAAACACACCTCTGCAAATAGAGGTGAAATATAGACAGGATTATTTATGTTATGTATGCATATTACAAATGATATGAAGAAGAGAATGTACCTGTCTGCAAATAGGTAGACTTTCCAATCTCCCAATCACACAAATGATGTATTGTACGATTTTATTCCTTACACTGCTATTTTGAGCCTGCGAAACAGTGTACCTAGCTAAAAATTCAAATGAAACGCGTTAATTTCAAAAAAAGAATATAGAAAATATGTAAAACTGCTATCTTAGCTTATGTTTGTTTTTGTGTTATTTGATATATGTTAATAATATCAGTGTACTGATATTAACAGTGTATTACCACACAAATGAGATATTGTTTAATTTTTTTTCCTTGCACTGCTATTTTGAGCCTGCTAAGCACTGTACCTAGCCAAAAAATTTAACATGGGAAGCATTAATTAGTCCATTACACACTAAAAGGTTAGATCAGTTAGGAGCTATAAAAATGTCTCTTGGTAAATTGTTTCTTATATTTTTAATTTCTTTCATTTGTACAATAACTATATATATATATATATATATATATATATATATATATATATATATATATATATATATATATATATATATATATATAGAGGGGTGATCACATGTGGCCATGTTGTTAGGTGTGGTCATATGGTCAATTATAGGCCATTAGATTAGATAGATCCAATGAATCATATTAATCAAGATTTTTTCAATATTTTCGCGCACATTCTCCTACCCAGCGAACTGCAAGGGTAAACTCGTCATAAAACACCGGAATAGGGAAAATCACATTGTTGTGTGTTTTATTACACTATTGGTGCATATTGTCAACATTGTTGGTGTATTCTGGAACCCAGCCGCTATAAATGGCCACTGTAATTACCATAACCCGGGAATACACCATTGGTGTGTTTCACTGTGGTGTGTTTTTATTACACTATTGGTGTATGTTGTCAACACTGTTGGTGTATTTTGGAACCCACCCGCTATAAATGGCCATTGTAATTACCATAACACCCCCACTTACCAAAACGCGCGAAAATTCTCAGAATTACCACTGCCGTTAGATTAAACTGATTCAACGGCACAGATACGACCACACGACCACACCTAATGACATGACCACATAAGAGCGTTCTTCTATATATATATATATATATATATATATATATATATATATATATATATATATAGTTAACTAAGAGGAAATATTATAGATTAAGTTAGATGACATGGAAATAGTGCACTATGCAGCAAGAAAATGATCTAATTTCTAAGATGATTGAAGCGGATGGAGATGATGACTCTGATTTGGTGATAGCAAATTATTTTTATCTTTTATATTTATGATATTTATGTTATTTGTTTGTTTTAGCATTTCTCTTGGATTTTATTATATTTATAGGTAAAATAGAGGCAAACTGCCCAGAAGGCTCACTGCATTGCCTGGAACTTTGAAGAGACGGAAAGTGTGTAGCAACCAATTCATTTGGACCAAACAAATGGCAGAGGTATTCAGAGGAGGCAGGTGAATTTTTTTTCTTATATTTTTTTTTAAAATAAAAGAACTATGAACGAAGTTTGTTTTAATGCGCTATGGTTACTAGAAATAAATTCCCCAGTGACACTAGCTGTGACCCATGAAGCAATTCCAATAAGTAGAATTCAGGTTTCTTGGATGGTTGATCTTTAGATTTGTATGCTTTAGATTATGTATACATTACATAATTTTTTTGGTTCTTTAGTTTTGTCAAAAATATTTATTTAAAAAAATATTAAAATTTGCTATAAATTAAAAAAAAATTATAGAGGGGAGAAAGGAAGAACACAGTAGCTAACAAAGGTAATTCCGCAAATTCATTAACCTGTATTTTAGTTAGATTCTTTCTATGTAAACAGATTACTAACTCTACCCTGATTAGTCGCTAATATAAACGGATTTCAGGGTCATTGAAAACTAACAACATAGAGATCACGGACCAGGGGGAAATCAATTTTAAAAAATCAGAAACATAGTAACTGTATCTCATTTGAATATTTTTTAGGGGACTAAAAAATGCATTTCAATGACCGAAAATAATAATTCCTAAATTTTAGATGCTGTACCTAATTTTATTGAAAAAATAAGTTAAGAAATGGTTAAAGTTTGCAGAATAGACTAAATAACAAATACAACACATTATTAGATATGAAATTCGAAAAAAAAACACTTGGAGAAGACTAAGAGATGACGTTATTACTGTAGTCGTTCTGTTTTGCAGATTAGGGTTGATCCACTGATGACCACTGAAATTCCAGTTCTACGTTTTCAGATCTTGAAGCCTTACAAATTAAGAATCGTTGCAATCTTGATTCCGAGAACAACAGCAAACAAGTTAGGATTTTTTAAGCGAAAGAAGAATGGAGAAGATACTCTACTTAGAGAGCAGTAGACACAGAGAGAGCAAATCGGAAAATTTCTTATGTTTTTTTTTTTTAATAACATTACACGTTGATGGATTACAATTTGATATATATATATATATATATATATATATATATATATATATATATATATATATATATATATATATATATATATATATATATATATTAATGTATATATATATATATATATATATTAATGTATATATTTTAAATGTATTTAGATTAATATTGTTCATATTTTTTTAACATTTGAGCATTCTAAATTTCTAATTTTAGATAATGAGATCATTGTTTCTTATACTTATTTGTACTCTTTTATATAAAAAAATATGTTCAATCTTTACTACTATCTAACTAAATTAATTAGAACTAACGATTTAATTTTGAAAAAAAAAACTAACGATTTAATAAGTTTTTTTTTAAAAAAAAAATCGTTTTTAGGTAATGCCAACTTATTATTAGCTACCACTTCAATATTTGAAAAGAGGTTTCAAAAAATAAAAGAATAACTAATTGTTATCATTGTTGTGCATTGGCACCACAAAAAACTCACTCTAATTTTCTCTCTTATCTTTTCTTATCCATATCACCAAAGTTATTATAAAAAGCGGTGTAAAATGCACTAATGAGAATGCTTTTATAAGTCAAACAAAAGAGAGTACAAGTATACATAAATAGACCAATTGTAAACGGTTTTGAAGTGCGTAAAAACACCATCGGTGAGAAAGGAAGCATATTACCGGATCAGCTGTCATAGGGAGGAAAAGGAAGCACCCTCATGATACCAAAGGTTCCAACTCTTAATCCTTTGTAAATATTAGTAAAGTTATGTATAATTTTGTACTTTTCAAAGATATTATAGCGAAAAATATGTATTAGTAGTCCAAAATATGTTGATTTTACTGTACAACATAAAGTCATAATCCAAAAAATTAAAAAAAAAAAACTCATATTTACTTTTTTTTTTTTGTTTTTAAATATGAAAGTTAATAACATTAATATTTTTAATAACATAACATGATTTTAATATTTCGGAATTGATAGTCCGTGCATCGCACGGGTGAAATACTAGTAATAATAATAATAATAATAATAATAATAATAATAATAATAATAATAATAATAATAATAATTAATGCTACTGCTACTACTACTACACTACCACTACTACTACGACTACTACTGATTGTGGCAAAATGAGTGATGGTGAGTGTACGAGTGTGTTATGTTGTCATCAGGGAATTAGGAGATATGGCACGCAACATGCAATCACAATAAACTAGACACTAGCATAAGGAAATCAACAAGAAGCTACGCAAAATACAAGTTTAAGGAAATGGTAAGACTAACACATATACCAAAGATAAATACAAAATAAACAAATAGGACTCAAGCTAGGGAGCATTATCTTCTAGATGCATAGCACAATCTAAGGATTGGAGAAAATCACACAACCAAGGAATAGAGGGGATGCACGTAGAAATCCTAGTCTATAAGTCACTCGCGTGAGCAAATTAACAAGGATTAGAACATGGAATTGCCCCAATCTCGTGGTGATTTAACTCCAAGTTCTTCAAGAACACAAAGAATCGAAAGCCCCCAACTTCCTCCATTTTCATAGGAAAAATCGGGTTTATGCAAGGAGTGGCTTGGAAACTTGACCCAACTCTCATTGAGGCCGAGAATCCTCCAAAACATGCCAATGAAAGGTGTACACCAAGCATTAACAATATACAAACACAAATCCTTTATAAACTCAAGAACCCTAGGTTAGAGTTCTTCCCCTTTTTTGCAATAATCAAAAATCAAGCATCAAGATAGAAAATACAACCCTAACTCAAGTCCATAAACTAACTACTCATGATTAAATAGCATAACGAACACAAAAACACAAGCATTAAACATAAATCTTGCAAAAGATAGAGATAAAAGGAAAGAAAACTTCTCTAAAGAAAATGGATGGTAGAATCTTGAAATGTTGGAATCCAAGTGTTGAATCCTTGATTACAAGCTTGAAATATGTTAATAAACCTAAATCTAAACCTAATTTAACACTACAATATGAAAGGAAGTGAAAGAGAGAAGCTAGGACTCAACTATGGGTCAAAACCATGTAGAAATGACTAAAATTGCGCCTATATAGTGAACAGAGCATAGTGGTACTGCCTCAGGGATGGGGGTACGAAAGGTATTACCATTTTTGGTGCATTTCCAGTGAACATTGGATCAGGGAGAAGAGATTCGTACTGGCCAAGGGATGGGGGTACGCAAGGCAGTACGATGCTCCAGCTGGAAACAGAATTCTGTGCACTTGTATTGACTTCTAGGCTATTTTCACCCCTAAAACCATTTTGTAGTCACTTATGGTCTTCAAAAAAATTGTATCCCTTTAAGTTGTCTTTCCAATGGTGTAAGAATCACTTCATTTGGACATCTCTAGGCCGAGATATGGTCGAAAGACCGAATAGTGTCCGAAATTAGGGAAAATTACAATATCTTGATCTTTTGCTCCTCTTTTGTTTTGGTTTGCCCAAATGAGTAAGACCATTGAATACACCACTCTTAGGCTCCCTTGGAAGTATTTTTTCTATCCACTTAACTTCACATTGGCTCCCATGGACTTCTAATGCATCCAAAACGCTCCATTTGACTTCAATGTCCACCAAAATGCCTGAAAATATTCATCTTTGTGGTTTCCAAACAAAACTCATTGCAAAATAACACAATTTAGTCCTAATCTCATGAAATTCTGAATGATTTATAGGAAAAATGGCTTAGATAAAGGGGGAAAATATAGACAAATAAACACTTATCATCAACTACTGCTATTGCTGCTACTACTACTGCTACTGCTACTGCTACTGCTACTGCTACTGCTACTACTACTACTACTACCTCTACTACTACTGCTACTACTGCTACTACTGCTGATGCTACTACTGCTACTGCTACTACTGCTACTGTTGTTACTGCTGCTGCTACTACTGCTACTGCTGCTGCTGCTACTGCTGCTGCTGCTACTGCTACTACTGCTACTGCTACTACTGTTGTTGCTACTACTACTATTACTACTGCTACTGCTGCTATTACTACTACTGCTACTACTACTAATACTGCTACTACTACTACTACTACTCACTACTACTCACTGCTACTGCTACTACTACTCCCTGGTACTTCTACTGCTACTGCTATTGCAACTGCTACTAATACTGCTACTTAGTTTTTTGATAAGCAGATAAATGTAAAAAAACTAAAAATGATATCTTCATAAAATTTAAATAGCTTTAAATTTAAATAGGTTTGTTTACATATTAAAATTTAACATTTTGAAATTAAACTATTAACATAATCATGATCTAACATCCCATAATAAAATCATATCGGAAGGACAACATTTTGTTATTTCCATCAAGCTGCAATTTCATTATAGTGTCTAACAAATGACTAATTCTGTGGTTTGGTTTTGTTTATTAGGCAAACTCAACTGCCAGACACGCCATCCACCTACCTTATTTTCCATTCTCATGCATACTGAAAGAAAAGTAATTTCCTTTTCTCTGATCACCTTTTCCCATGTATGTTCTCTTGTACTTATCCCTTCTCAGCTCCCATCATTTTAATTTCCCAACTTTCATTATATTGTTCCTAGCCCTAGGGTACTAAATTATATATATATTAAACATATTTATTATTTAATTTTTATATTAAATAATTAAGTGTCAATAATATTTTATTCCCTCACATGGTTTAAAATTATTATGTCATGAAATCAAAAGATTCTAAAAAAAAAAAAAAAAAACCATTTATCAAGTAAAAGATCAGAGACTAAAAACTAAAAAAACATATTACTCTTCACAAACATGAACCCAAAAATAACAATAACGATCCATCCAAGAAATTCAAAAAATCAAATTTAAAAAATGAGCTGAAAATCTGAGATCGAGATGATAGATATGATGCCAAGAAACAAAATTACACTAAATTTCTAATAATATAATATAAAATAAAGCTAAGCCTGTAACACCCCGTGTTACACCCTTTGAACCCGGATTAATTATTTAATTAATTTGTAAGTTCTGTATCAATATTTTAGTGGTTTCCATTAAAATAGTTAAAATGATTTAATTTGGTACAGGATCCCTTAAATTATTGCTATGATTAATAGGTTGATCCTTGGTTCAACGAATCTAGACGTCATCCTTGGTTCAACGAATCTGGACCTTAATCCCTTTTCAGATAAAATAAGGAGGGCCCAACTACCACTCAGCTTACTGTTAGGAATCCTAAACCTCTTGCCTTCTTACATTTGTACTAGGATTTCTAGATCTATATATAGGAGATTAGAAAGCATTTAGAACCCTTTCCACCCATAAGCTCTATTACTCGAAAATCCCACAAAAGAAACCTAGCCAAGGAATTCCCAATCACCAACCCTAGGAAGATCAATTTAAGGAAAATCTTGGTGAAGGACCTTAAGAGCTAAGGAAGATTTAATTAAGGCTAAGAGCTAACCCATGTCTTACAAAACCTATTTTCCTTGCTATATCTTGATCCATTGGCCTCTTGATTTCTTGTATGTGTGTTCTTGATTCTATGCCTTGTTAGAGTTTGTCTTTAGGATATATTTGTTGTTTCTTGTTGTTCTTGAGGATCTTGATGTTTTTGGGCAAATATGTGTTTATTCTTGAGTCTTGGTATGTTTAGAGCTTATGTTGAGGATGGAATTGTGACGTTGCTTGGCTTATTCTTGGTGTTCGAGTCCTTATTGTTGTTGATATGTGTTGGGATGTATTTGGACTTGATTTTGGATAAAATTGATGAATTCCCAGGTTGGGAAAGTGCCAAGCAACATTTGTACCAGCGGGTAGTTGGTGGGGGGACAAACCCCCACCTAACCACCCACCGGTGTACCCGCTGGTACAGTGCCCGCCCGTTGGTACAGGCGGGGCGATGTGTTGTTTCCGTGTGCC